TTCTTGCTGTAAGGATTTGTTCCCTCTTTTGAGCTACTGCATCCATAGGTGTAGGTCAAGTTCATCAAATTGTATCAGATTACTCTTTTTTCCTTCTTCTGGTTGAGCTCTGATCATGCAATGACTGATTTTTTTTTAAGGAGTAAACCACCAGGCATTTCTTCAGAGGTAGCGCTGGATGTCCTGGAAGCACCAACGTCTCCCTAAACAGCCAAGCACGTTAACCATCTTCACTGTTAGGGACTCTGCTTTGCTCAGGAAAGAGTAATAATCATAACAGCATCCTTGAAAAGGTCTCTCCATTGCCGTAACCACTTGTAGTTGTCCTTTCTTACTCTAGGGGGAAATGGCAGCTATGAAGAAACTTTGTCTTCTCATGTTTTTATTCAATCCAGTTCTTTGGCTTTTAATTTGATATCAAAGTATCTTTTTACTGAAACTTAATCATTTTCAATACTGATGAAGCTTTCAAGGAAGTAAGTTGGAAACTCTCCTGGTGTGACTGAGCAGTCTGCAGCAGAACAGTTTCCAAAATGAGATGTGCTTCAAACACACTCAGAAGCCTGAGTTCAGTTGGTAAGAAGGGCAGCAAAGAGCATTTTCATGGCAGTTTGCTCTACAATTGTAAGAAGACATATATTTTCTGTAGCATTTGGCATACACTCTAACAGCCTGAGTTGATTAGAACAAAATTTAATTTGCAATAATCAGCTGGTAGCAAGGGAAGCATGAAATTATGTCGATGCATTGGGTTTGCACTTTGCAATATATTTCCTTGTAAATCAGGTATCTTTTTAATTTATCTTTGGGTTACAGAACATATAGCACAGCAAACTTTTTATTACAAATTCACTCTGCAGGGAGAGAGACAGTTAAATGTTAACCAAGCAAGCACTGTCTTCTCCTGGCAGATGGCCCAAGGGTAAGACATAATTCAATGTGCTTTCCTTCTTTGGGTCAAGTGGTGTGCCATGAATTTCTGAAGATGAATGGCACCTTTTAGCAAAACCTCCATACTATTCAAGATACACAGTCTCTACTGGCGAGGGCTGATGAGTCTTAGACTTGCCCTTTTAAATGACTGCCCTTCTTCAGAGTACTTTTAAGAGAACTGAAAAAGAAAAGGATTTTGAGGGTGGCCAATAATCTCATCTTTTCTGGTCATTCACAGCAAGTGATCAGCCTATGACTTCTTCTTCTTTTTAATTCAAATACTATCACAGCACCTGTGGAGGATTCCTTATATCAGGGAATGACATTTGCTGAAGTTTGGTCTGATGACTTTGAATTCCATTGGTGATGGTGGTAGTTGAGTGAGGCCAGAAAAATACCCAGCCCCATTCATTGCCTTTGAGGTGATTCTACCTCATGGAAACTCCATGTGTGTTGGAGAAGGACTGCACTTCATAGGGTGCCGTTATATGGAAATACATGACCAGGCCTTTCTTCTGTGGTGCTGCTGGGTGGATTCCAAATGCCAACCTTTTGATTAGTTGCCAATTGGAAATGGTTTGAGCCACCCAGGGTGGGGAGGGGGTCTGAAACTGGCTTAAAGAAATAAGTACTGACTGAGGAGTGGTAATTCTGTGTCTCCAGAGCTACTGACTCACTCCAGATTATTGTTAGTACAGTGGTTGAGCATTTGGCTACTTACCTAAAGGTCAGCAGTTCAAACCCATCAACGACTCTGTGGAAGGAAGCTAGACCTGTCAGCTTCATCTAAATCTTCAGTAGAAACTTTGAAACTTTACCGGACAATTCACCTCTGTCCTTTATAGGGTTGTCAGGAAGCCAGAATCGACTCCACTGCAATAGGTTTGGTTTTGAGCAAGGTATTGACCCTTGGGTCCTTAGTTTCCTCATCTGTAACATGTGGGAGGTCATGTTAGTAAGATCCCTAGTTCTAGCGCTAGTGATTTTGTATGAAAGGCTGTCATGGGGCTGGCAGGATGCTGGGTCAATAGTAGAGAACAAAGCAGTTTTGGTGCTGCTGCTTGAGAGATTCATAACACACAGAGTGCACAGTCTGAAGACAGACTGTTAATATTACAGAATCCTCAGAGTGTTAAAAAACAGTGTGATGTTTGTAATAAATATATTCCTTAAACACATAGATCTTCTTTGGTTGTGGTGGTGGGTTGGAGATGGTGAAGAAGGCTGAATGAATTAAGAATATAACAGCTGACTTTAGAAGTATGTCTTTGGTGAATTCTTTTTATTAAGCAGAGAAGATGATTGTAGAGGGAATTGTTACTTCTAATTTATCTGTTTCATCAGTTTGGAGTGATACGAATTGAATTGTGTTTCCTCAGAGTAAGGCACAGCTCCGTTTTTTCTCAGAGTGAGGAGGGTACCAGTTCTGTGATTACCTTTGATCTGGCTTTGAGCTAAAAGCTAATTAGTCATACTGATTGCCTTATTATGGTCTCAAAATACTGTGGTTCTTACTTTGTAAACGCAATGAGGAATATTTTCAAAAGACATAGTCTCACTATATATTCTTGCAACTAGCATCTAGTGAAGACAAAGAACATACATATTTGAAATTAGCCCCAAACTTTCCTAGAAATTTTGAATGACCACATTTAAAATATGGGCCTCAATCACTTCTTGAACTTTTGTACTAATGCACTTTCAAAGCCTAGTTTATATTTTGCATATGTAGGTTGCTTTTCTTCCCTTCATACTGAGAATGCTGAATTTTACCTAAATCCCATGATCCTAGGAAACAGGGATGGTTAAAGAACCCCTATTCCCACGTCCCACCACCTCTGCACCTCTGCCCCGTGTGTTCTAGAAAATGACTTTCTGCAAATAGCCCAACTCTCCATATGACTTAGATAAAACTCTGAGATGCTGCCTTGTTTACCTATGAAAAGGTCAAAGACCGTCCAGATTCCCAGTCTCTTCTTCATAAATAACAGAACTGCTTGTCTTTATCCATCAACCAAAAACAATAAGTTTGTTAGTCACATTTTGGTTAAACGTCTCTCCTTTCGCCAAGCATACCCTCAACTTAAGCCAACATATTATCCCTCCTCTGGCCCTTTCCCGGAGTCCTGGTGTGGGCTGTGGGTTAAAGCGTCAGACTGCAAAGCCGTTTGAACTTAAGGTCGATAGTTCAAGCTCACCAGCTGCTTTTTGGAAACTCTATACAGGGTCACTATGGGTTGCAAACAACTGTATGGCACTTAACAACAAAACAGCAAAGGCCATTCCCAGAGAAGACTATCTGATGAAGGAGTCCTGGTAGCGTAGTGGATTATGAGCTGGCTGCTAACTGCAAGGTTCGTAGTTCAAATCTATCAGTCACTCTGTGTGAGAAAGATGAGGTTTTAAGATCCTGTAAAGATTTGCAGGCTGAGAAAAACCTATACAGCGTCACTGTGAGTCAGAACCAACTCCACAGCACACATCCACCACCACCACCATCACCGTCTAATAATGGTGTCTTTTCATATAACTTCTCCACACCTGTTTTTATTCTAGCCAGTTTATTTTCATGTCTCTCGTTTCTGAATACAGCTTCTCCCTATCTAAATTCGGATTAACTTTTCTAATTTAGCAACATAATATAAAAAATTTCTTTCAACTGTCGTTAGATCTTACCAAAGTGTCTCATTTCTTAACCCCCAAGCTTTGCTGCTAGCTCCAGGTACATACCTCCACATAGCACCTTTCTTCTCACAGTGAGGTTAACCTGCCCATTCCGGGCTGCATGGTGCATAAGGTCGATGACATAGCGGTGAGTCTTGCCAGCCACTGGAATCCCGTCGACATAGACAAGCTCATCTCCTGGGTGTAGGCGGCCATCTCTGTCAGCGGAGCCCATGGCAATGACAGCCCCAATCAAAATCTAGAGAGACCACAAGAAGGAAAGAACATCCACATGTCAAACCATCTCCCATCCCTGTTTCTCCTCAGCACGAAACTTGGTGGGAGATTCTATTCCCCCAGTCTTCCTGTTGCCCCAAACCTGAGCATGTATTTGATAAATGAACATGAAGAGTTGGATAAGACAGGATACCCTTCTAGCTCTTCCAGATCTCAAATCCTTCTAGGGAAATAAATGTTTTAAAACTTGATGCTGGTTGCCATGAAGTTTGGGTTGCACTTGCTTCCTGACTTGTAAATTATCACATGTACTGAAAATTCTAACTCCAAACATATTATTAATTGGACACATATGGACTTTGAGCTGAAACAAATTTGGAATAGAACGCCAGCTCCACCTCTTAATTGTGTCACTTTGGACAAGGCTTCCTGACCTTTTTGAACCTCAGTTTCTTCACCTGTACAGTGGGGGACATAACAATAGGACTTAGTTCTTAGAGTTTTGGGGAGAATACAAAGAAGGCATGTAAAGCACTTACCTCTGTTCATGGCATAAAGAATAAATGCTCAAATATTCAAGGGGCAAATAGCTGCATTTTATTGAATGATGATAAAGATTCAAAGTCTTTGCTTTGAAAAGCTGGCGGTAAGGAGAAGACAAAGCAAAACTCATTGTTGACTGATTTTTAAAGATATCAATCAAACCTCTAGAACTTTGCTCCTTTCCTTTAAATACATCCTTTGAATACTATCATCTGCAAAGAAACTTCTCAGTTTTTCCTGTTTCTTAAAATATGTTTGCTGTTTAGGTGGCTACACCACCAGGAAATGAGAAGGTACAACATCTGGGAAATATAAGCATTTTCATAATTCCTGAACCTTGAAGCATGATGAAAGACAGAAATTGAGGTTTCCCACTTCCAATCAAAAACATTCAATGTAGTATTCATTGGTGGTAGTGGCTGTGTGCCGTGGAGTTGGTTCCAACTCATAGCCACCCTGTACAGGTTTCCAAGGCTGTAAATCTTTACAGGAGCAGAAAGCCTCATCTTTCTCCCACGGAACAGCTGGTAGTTTTGAACTGCTGACTTTGCAGTTCACAGCCCAATTCATAACCACTATGCTACCAGAGCTCCTTTATTCATTAGCAAGGTATTTTTCTATCCTAGGAGAAAGACAATAGTACTGAATATTTTAGTTTTGCTATTTAATCTAAAAACAATTTTTTCCAACTAATGGGCAACACTTTTTGCTTTGGCCAAGTGTTAGGCACACAGCATCTGAGGGCAGTGGTTAACCATTAAGCTGATACTATTTACCAACCACCACCATCACCACCACCACCCACGGCCCTAGAATCGATTTTGACTCATAGTGACCATGTATAAGGATTCTGAGGCTATCAGTTTTTATGGGAGCAGAAACCTCCACTTTCTCTGACTTTATGGTTAGTAGTCCAGTGTTTCTACAACTCCTCCTGGGCTCCTTTTATAATGTTGTTGTTGTTAGTGCCATCAAGTCGGTTCTAACTCATAGTGATCCTGTATAGGGTTTTCCAAGGAGCAGCTGGATGGGTTTGAACTGCTGATCTTGTGGTTCACAGTCCATTGCTGATTCACACAGTGCCACATGCAGGAACCTTATTTAGGTTTTAAATCTTCAAGAAAATGAACCTTTGCCCATTGGCTGAATTTTTTCAGGCACAAGAATTTAATTCCAATCCCAGATTGTGGGGAGTCCAGTGAATTTGAAGATTTGCTGCATCCTGACCTACAGGCTTGTGTATCTTCAGGGTTGACTGTAGAATTCTTTCTGCATACTTGGCCAATTGCTCAAATACTAATGCCCAGACTTCTAGGGTATATGCAAAGTCAAGAGTCTGAAGAGTTCTCTATTTTCTTGATGACTTTGTAGGGTTGGACCACTTCAAAAACTTTATAGCTGTCTTTATCCATAACAATGAAAATTCCCCATATTACAGCTTTTCTCCTCCTGATGGTGGGAAGTGGGGCAGGATGGAAAACAGATTTGCTTGCATGTTTGATGATCATGCTCTGATGAATGATTTTATTATTGATATCACAGGAAAGACCTCACATCTCTTAACTTAGGTTGGTTGCACAGAGTGATTCTTTCTCTGTAACTCACTGTACCCATTTGCTACAGTTCAACTATTGGACACACATTTGACACTCCAATTTTCCTTAACTATCATGCCAATCTGAATTTATGAGTTTCTTTCTAAAGATGTTCCAGTCTAGTCTTCAAAAGACTCAACTCACTATGGAGTGCTTCAAAGGTTTGGCAAGTGCTTTATGCAGAAGTCAGTTAAAATGAATATTTGTATTTCTCCACTGCCCCATGAAAAGCTGTGTTTGGCTGGATTAGCCCAAAGAAAATGCTTTAACCTTTTGACTTTGTGTATACTTTACTAGGACAATTTACAGCAAGTTACAGAAAATAAACATGGCTCGTGAACTTGAGTGGTTAGTTACCAACTTCAATATATATTTCTGATTTCAACTGATGGAAATAAACCATAAAATAACGAATATAACTGCAGGAGCCACAGGTACAACTGGGCTCTATATAAAATAGGAAAAATGAAATTTCACATTGGAAAACACCTGTTTATCTCTGTACAAAACAGCAAAAATAGACAAGCACTTTCAAGTTATCTTCTGTGTAAGGAGTTTAATATTATTCATTAAAAAGAAAACCACAGTAAAACACCTGCTTTTCTGCACTACTGGTATGGTAAGACGTACTCTCCTGAATACATTTATTCTGCAAATATTCACTGAGTCCAAGAGACTCTTTTAGGTCCTAAGAATCTGTCAGTGAGAAACAGACAAAATTCCTGCCCGAACACTGCTTTCATTCTAGTCATCTGACAAAAAAAAAAAAGTGTAAATTTATATATTATTAGAAGGTATGAACTATGGGGAAAAATGCATCCTGATGTGGCATTACAGGATAAGTACTGGGCTACTAATTGTATGGATGGCACTTTAAACCCACCAGCTGATCCTAAGATATACTATTCAAGGTCGGGTGCGTCAGAACAGACTAGACAACGCTTAACAACAACATAAGGAAAATAGAGAAATGTGGGGAGGTGAGCATTAGTCATGGGTCCAAGGTGGTGGCAGTTTTATGGTAAGCCTCACTGAGAGGGTGACACATGAGTAAAGACTGACGTTCTCCAGAAGTCTTTTTTTCTTTCTTTCTTTCTTTCAATTTTCTTTTTATTGTGGTTTAGAAGAAAATTTACAAAGGAAATTATTTTTCAATTCAGCAATTTATACAGATTGTTGTATGGCATTGGTTGCAATTTCCACAGTGTGTCAATAGTTTGCCCATTTTTACCTTGAGTGCCCTGTTTCTGTTTGTCTAATTTTCTTACACTTTCCTGTCTTCCTTCTTAACTTCTCTTTTGGGTAAATGCTGTCCTTTTGGTCTCATATAATTGATTTTTATGAGGAGCACATTCCTCGCAGGTGTTATTCTTCACTTTATGGTGGCTGGTGGCTGTGTGCCATGGAATTGGTTCTGACTCATAGCGACCCTGTACAGGGTTTCCGAGACTGGTGCAGAATGCCTCATCTTTCTTCCACAGAGCAGCTGGTAGTTTTGTACTGCTGACCTTGTGGTTCGCAGCCCAATTCCTAACCACTACGCTGCCAGAGCTCCTTTATAGCTTTGTGTTTTATGTGACTGAAAGGTGATCTCTGAGAGGGGCTTCCGTTTCAGTTAGAAGGGTGATTTGCATAAGGATCCTAGACTTGGGGACAGAAACGTTTTTTAAAGCTTAAAACTATAATCTTACCATATTAGTTCTTCCTATTGAATCTCACATACTTACCTCTAAATAAGCAGCATCTTCAATTACCCTTAAATATAATTTATTACATGTTATTAGATAATTATTATGATGAATATATTATTAGGGCCCTGGGTGATGCAAACAGTTTGCAATTCACTGGTAGGCAAAGGGATGGTGGTTGGAACTCACTCAGTGACTTTGCATGTGAAAACACCTGGCAATTTGCTTCTGTAAAGTTCACAGCCAAGAATACCCAGTAGAATAGTTTTTCTCTATATGGCACTTGGGGTTTCCAGGAGTAGGAACTGACTTGAAGGCAAAAGACCACAGTAACAACAAATATTACTACATATTGTAATATAAAATCTATCCTCTGCCTTATTTCTAAAAAAGGTGCAGTGGTGTAAACGGTAGAGATGCTTTGTCATTGTTTACTGTCGTAGTCAATTCTAACTCATCAGTTTCTATAACGGACTGGAACACTGTCCAGTCACTGTGTCAGCCTATCACACCGAGGGTCTTCCTCTTTCTTGCTGACCCTCTACCTTACCAAGCATGATATCCTTCTACAGAGACTGGTCCCTCTTGATAATATGTACAAAGCACATGAGATGAAGACTTGCCATCCTTACTTCTAAGAAGCATTCTGGCTGTACTTGTGCAGTCCATGTATATTTAATATTTTTCAACAATACCATAATTTAAAGGCATCAGCTCTTTGGTCTTCCATATTCATTATCGAATTTTCATATGCTTATGAGGCAATTGAAATAACCTGGCTTGGGTCAGGTTTGTCCATTAGCTCTAATATTGGTTATATTTGATCCATCCATCAGAAACTGCTGGACTCTCTGGGAAGAGGCTGACCACTCCACTCATAGTGCTTCCGCTCTCCTGCCTTTGGTGCTCACCAGCCTTTGGCTGTCTCTTCATTTTGCACCTCTGTGCATTATACCACACTGCAGACACGGGGCTAGTTCTGTGTCTATCTAGAAAAAACTCCAACTCCTTCTCCTTTTCATTTTAATCTGCATTATATACTGGACACATTCCATTAGTTTCCCTCCTTTGACATGCTAACTGCCGGAACTCAATAATCCAATCTTCCTTCCTACATAGGAAGCACATCAGCTGGCCTTCACGAACTGCACATTCTCATGTTGACCTAAGCTCTCCAGAACATGCCTCATGATTTC